ACTTAAAAGCAAAACAGAAAAAATTTAGTGCTTCCACATTACCTATAAGATTAAGTTTCAGTGCCTTAGTAGGAATATCACGATATGACCCTAGCCCACCTTCTTCAAGTTCTACCCACTTCTTACAACTTCTTTTCCTTCCTATCAGAGCTCCCTAAGGCTCAGCAATAAGGAACTATTTTCCATTCTTACATTTAACATGTCCCATCTAAGCTCTTTGCTTTTACACAGTATGTTCCTTATGTTTAGAAGATCTCCTTAAGCTTATTTTCTCTCTGTTGAACTCCTAAACATCTTTTATCTCCAAGATCTGAGGATTATTTCTACTGTTACATCTTCTCTGTCTTTTAACTTTGATTTTAACTACTAGAATGTTGTATACATCACACTGTTAACATGCTTAATTTATTTTCCCATTAGACTGTGAACTTCTTGAGGGCAAGGACCATGTTTCATTTATCTTTGTATTTCTATTATTTAACTCAATATTAGCAGAGTTTCACTATATAGTTATTGAACTAATAAAACAAAATAAATCAGGATGCTTATGCTCGACAGGTCTGGGGAATTTCCTAAAGACCCAAAGGAAGGGAAGGGAAGGGAAGGGAAGGGAAGGGAAGGGAAGGGAAGGGAAGGGAAGGGAAGGGAAGGGAAGGGAATGAGAATAGAATATTCCAGACTGTGTTGTTGACAGTACAGCTGAAACCTGCTTTGATTCTGTGCTCAAACTGAGATGTTCTGGAGAGGTGTCTTGACAATCAGCACCAATGGAAGGCTTTCACATTATAAATAAATTCATTGCATTTGGTAGCTGAGCAGCATAATGGCTGAACTTATGTTAATTTTTTGTTAACTTGAGTTTTACTGCCTATTCGACCTGCCATGTTTTTTCATTGTAATACAAGAACTCTCAAAATTATATGCTTTCTTTTTTTAATTGTTTGCTAAAGTTTTTGGTTATGTAAAAAGGAGATTTTCTTTTGAAAATATTTTCTGCTCTCACATCCTATTATTATTCATTTACATAAAATATTATGTAGTGAGATTTAAAGGTTAAAATATTTGAGGATGTTAATAGTATTAAAAATGTTGAACAATCACCGTGGCCCAGATACTGCTTTTAGTGCCTTAAATGGAGTGTCCTGTTTAATTCACACAGCAGCTCTATGAGAGAGGTGGGCATTATTCTCCTGTTTTCTACAAAAGAAAAACATAAGTATACACAAGTTAAGCAACTTCCCTACATCATATACCTGTTACAGACCTCAGCCTGGATTGGGAGGCCATCTGACTCCAGAACTCATACTCATAATCACTACAGCTGTGGAGAGTATAATTTAGAACTAAATTTCTGTTCTATCTGAAATTCAGAAGTTTTTCTGCCTGCCAGTCTTAGCATCTTTTTTGGATAGATTGATTGGTCCTTTAAAATCCTATCTCCCACTTCCATGTTTCTTTTCTTTTCTTTTCTTTTCTTTCCTTTCCTTTCCTTTCCTTTCCTTTCCTTTCCTTTCCTTTCCTTTCCTTTCCTTTCCCTTCCTTTCCTTTCCTTTCCTTTTTTCTTTTCTTTCACTCCTTATATGCCATTGCTGGATTGCAGTCTAATTACATTTAACTTTCTTTTTTGGGACAATTTCATTACTGCTTCTTGAGCCAGTGCTCATTACAGTGCATCTCCTGATCAACTGTGTTGATTCTGAGATACAAGTGCCAAGCCAGTACCAAATGCATTCCTGTATTTTTTTTTTGTCATCCAAAGAATGGGAAGATAGTTATGTAATTCCAGGTAAAAATGAGAAAATAGGATATGCGTTTGTTTCTTTTATTTCTTGTACCTTAAGCATAAATATAGAAGCTGTGTTAATGACAACATTTATATAATCAAGCAAGTTGAGATTTGGATGTTTGACTAACCAATTAGATTTCATTGAGACAACATAAAACAAATATACAAAAAATAAACTCCAAGCTAACAGATATGTACTACTCTTATAAATTAATGTTTGTTTTATAGAAAAAGTGTATTTTGAAATGTACTTCCTTCAGTGAATTGGTAGGAGAATTGTAGTTGTTTTTATTTGTTTTGTAAATTATAAAGTTATAATATTAACTTGGGAACTACTAAGGATTATACTTTTCATATTAGAGTAAAAATTGTTCCATAGAGAACTGACTTTATTATCAGGTGAAGAGGATAGGTGGGAAATTTATGCTTTTCCCTTAAGAAAAGTCATACATTTCTATGTATCATCCCCCTCCCCACAGGATATTTATTTCTCAGTTTCATCCCTTTAAGACTTAATATTCAGTCCTTGTTAAACAACAAATTGAATTTTGATAAGGCAGCCACTTAGCTATTTTTACTCACATACTGCTTGAGTATGATCCATTTCTGGAATGTTTTGGCATGAAGGGATTCTGAAAACAGGTGCAGGGGGAAAAGGTGCAGTTTGGGCGCAGGGGGAAAAGAGAGAGACCAATTCAAGGGTTGAGGAGAACAGAAGGGGAAGAACCTAGCACTAAAAGAAAGTTGGCAGCAAAGACAAACTTCTTTCAATTCCCAGTATTTGCCCCAAGATCAATAGTGGCCCATCTGATGATAGCCATCCTTGATTCCACAGGAGGAGGTTTGTTCATTTCGGTTGGGTAATATGTTTTAAGAATTTGGAGACTATGTACATGAGGCTGATCTGTATTTCTCTTACATGTGATCTCATCCCCACCACAATCCATCCATTTTTCTGAGCCTCATCCCATCCCTAGGGTCTTATTCTCCCTTGGTCAGTGTTTGTCTCTCCTCTGTTAACCTCTGTGCACAATGGCCTTCTGGATCTTTTTATAAAGGCATCACTGTTGCCAGGGGATCACAGGGGTTGCAACTGACTTAGACTAGCAGCTTGAAATAGTGACATTTTGTGTTAGCCTACCCAAAATTGCCATCTTGGTTTTTCAGGGTATAGTCATGGGACATAAATCCATTATAAAATCTCATTTAGTCTCAGATGCAATGAATTTGTGTGGGACTAACTAGCTTGCAGGGTTTTTTTTTTTTTTTTTTAAAGCTCAGAATTACTGGGAAGAGACCAGCTTCAACTGGTAGTTTATTCTAGAGGGGAATGGCCTCATAGAATTCACATCTGTCAGTTTGAGCTGGGCAAAGATAAGACTATTTACCAGCTGGTAATGTAAAGCTCATTGTTCCTGAGGAATCTGTGAAAAGACAAGATTACAAGTTCTAAGTGATTTTGTTCTAGTTTAGATTACCAGGCCCTCTTGTATGTATATGTCCCTGGGAAACCTATCCTGTGCAGATTCTGAATACTTGGCCATGTGACCAAGAGCAAAGCTACTCTCAAGCCAGACTTCCATATGTACTATTTGGTGGCCTTTTTTCTCTACTTGTCTTCACATAGCAGCTTGGGATTTATAAACATAGCTAAATTTAACTGAACCATTTACATGTGTTAGCCATGCTATGAGGTAGGCACCATTGTTACCCTCACTTTGCAGTTGCGGGAAACTAAGTAAAGGGATGTTAAATGACTTGACCAAGGGCACATAGCTTGAAAGTGGCAGCACTGAGCATGGATTCCAGAAAGACTGAATTAAAGTTTATGAGCTTGTCCCTAGGGATTGGGATAGAGTCCTTTTAGCACAAGTGACTGAGTAAAAGGCCATTCTCAGGCCAGGGTTGTATCTTAGCACGAAGCCTCCACACCTAAGTCTGTGGAGAGATCCCTAGAATGCAGCTCTAATTCCTAGTAGGCCTGAATTAAAAAGCTCTCCAGCAATTACCTCTTATTTTGAGAACAGTTTGGAAGGAGATTAGCAGGCCCAAATGAGGCTGCTGAATGGTAGTCAGACTCATGTCTGAGATAGGACTTAGAACTGATTCTAGAGGGGGCTGGTGATAGAGGTTTATTGTGAATCTTGGCTCTTTAGCAGACTTACCTTACAGGCAATCAGTCCACATCTTAAAGGGTTTATTTGTATTGGCTGTTTTGATTCCTGTGAGCCCTTAGCTGTCTTCTCTACTGTCCTTGAGCTCTCCATGTTAAGATCAGAAGTCACTGCTTTAACTTTAGACTAATGAATGCATCGTGGATTCTCATTTCTTTCTTTTATTTCTTCTACACTAAAACATAAATATAGGAGCTGTGAAATATAGGACAATGCCTGTATAATTTGGCAAGACAGATCTGAATGTTTGATCTGTCAGTTAGATTTAGGGTTCCCTGGTCTAGCTGTGGAATCTAAATCTTCCCAGAGAGAAGACCAGGATCCCAGGAGAATGGCTCTGAATGTGACTCTCACAATCCAACTTGAAGTGACCTCTCTGTCACTGACCATGTGTTGTTAGCTTCTCTAGATTGACAATTATCTATAAGACATTGTGTATTTGATATTTTCGTTTATGTCCCTTTTCCTGGACCACATTTTAAGCCCTTAGGGTAAAAATATTATGTCTTATCCAGTATGTTCCATGCTACTAATAGCTGATAATAAACATGATTTCTTTTGACCAGTTAAAATATACTGGAGTCTCTTGCCAAAACTGACTTTTCTAATATAACTGTGGCATGGGTGACCAAAAATCTTTAGGATGTTGGTTGACATAGTTCTGAGAATCATATAGTTTTAAAGCTAATGGCAATTTTGAAGTAGAAAAGTAACAATTATTTGTAAAGTTTTTATTTTAAAAGTTTTTGGATCTTAGTGCTGAGAAATAACTGGTTTAATTTCTGTTTGAATGCAGTTTGCTCTACTCATCTTAGATGGTCTTTTCCTTGTCAAAGTCAATGTTTTTATATAGTCTTTCAGCCATGTTTAGTGGTTTTTATCCACCTATACCTCCTCTCTCCCAATATTATATATATAAATATTGGCCAAATGCTGAAGATAATTTAAGTGAAGTATCTTCATTTAATTCTGAGCCTCTGAGAAAGAGCTGTTCTCAGATACAGAGATGTAAACACCATTTTTTTCTGTTCCATTTGCAGGTCACATGTGCCAATTTAACGAATGGTGGGAAGTCAGAACTTCTAAAATCAGGAAGCAGCAAATCCACACTAAAGCACATATGGACAGAAAGCAGCAAAGACTTGTCTATCAGCCGACTTCTGTCACAGACTTTTCGTGGCAAAGAAAATGATACAGATGTAGACCTGCGATATGACACCCCAGAACCTTATTCTGAGCAAGACCTTTGGGACTGGCTGAGGAACTCCACAGACCAACAAGAGCCTCGGCCCAGGGCCAAGCGAAGGCCCATTGTTAAGACGGGCAAGTTTAAGAAAATGTTTGGATGGGGTGATTTTCATTCCAACATCAAAACAGTGAAGCTAAACCTGTTGATAACTGGGAAAATTGTAGATCACGGCAATGGGACATTTAGTGTTTATTTCAGGCATAACTCCACTGGTCAAGGGAATGTATCTGTCAGCTTGGTGCCCCCTACAAAAATAGTGGAATTCGACTTGGCACAACAAACCGTGATTGATGCCAAAGATTCCAAGTCCTTTAACTGTCGCATTGAATATGAGAAGGTTGACAAGGCTACCAAGAACACACTCTGCAACTATGATCCTTCAAAAACCTGTTACCAGGAGCAGACCCAAAGTCATGTATCCTGGCTCTGCTCCAAGCCCTTCAAGGTGATCTGTATTTACATTTCCTTTTATAGTACAGATTATAAACTAGTACAGAAAGTGTGCCCCGACTACAACTACCACAGTGACACACCTTACTTCCCCTCCGGATGAGGATGGACATGGGTGAGACTGAAGCCTGAGGAACTAAAGGTCATATGACAGGGCTGTTACCTCAAAGAGGAAGGTCACATCTGTTGCCTGGAATGTGTCTACACTGCTGCTCTCGTCAACTGGCTGCAAAGACGCTAGTGGAAAACAATCCGATGTAATTTCTGCCCAGTCAGCTTCATCTCTCAGCATAGTTGTAAATCACTACAGGTTTTAAAGGCACACTTGAAGACATACTCTCACACATAGATATACACAAACACACGTTCATATACATTTCAGCTTGCATCTGTCATGATTGCTGTCAGGAGGGCTTTCGTTATCTGACTCATAATGGTTCAGGATAAACTATCATCAAGCAAAAGGATTAACTAGACAGTGAATGGTTTCTAACACTTGCTGTTATGGAAATCTCTTTTAAAGTCTTGAGTACATGCTAATCAATAATCCCCACTCATGCATTCCTACTGCTTGGAGTAGCTGTACTGGTAAATACTACTGTAGGAATATATGCTTGTTCAAATGGAAAAAAAAAATGTGTCTTTAGAGCTCAGTATTCTTTATTTTATGAACACAACAAAGTGTAGTAACTTTTTTCCAGCATACAGTAGGCACATTCAAGGTAATATAAGATGGCTCTTTTTTTTTTTTTTTTTCTATGGAGGGAGCCTGTTTTCAGTAAAGATGAGCAAACATTTGGAATTTACATGTGGGCAGACATTGGATTACAGCTTTCATCACCAGTCTTTGGACTTTCGCAAAGTTGAGACCAACTAAGGCTGCTTAAAACAAGTTCTGATCATTATATAAGAAGGGAAATGCCTGACAGACACCATGTAAGTTATAAGTGTCTGTCTTATCTTTACTACACATATTGTAACAAATTCAATATCCTAGTCTTCATTTGTATGAATGGTTTGTATTGTACATAGTTTAACCAAGTGTTATTTGAGCTGCTTATTAATATTAACTTGTACTTGTCTCTCTGCTTGTTATTGGTTAAAAAAGAAAAAAAAAAAGGATATGAGGAATCCATTTTATCAATGTAGCTGTGACCTCCATTAAAAAGACAAACTTAATGTACAAAGCATTTATTCAGCTCAAGTATTGTTGAAAGCTATACATATACAACATTACAGTCTGTCTGTATTTAGATATTTTATTTCTGGACAAAATGAAATGTACATAAAAATAAAATGCTTAAAGTTGAGTTTCAATATGTGCTTGTGTAAGATGGTGATTTAAATGGTTCTGACAGGAAGAATGTGCTGGAATACAGTAATGGTTTTGCATCTGATGTCTCTAAATTTGTGCAGAACTATCTAAATTGCTATTAGTTGCCCAGTCAAAACAAGTTAGGAGTTTCAGTCTCAAGCCTGGCAAACAGTTGTGGCATACAGCATTGCACACATTTTTGGTTTACTGTCGTGCTAGTTAATTCAAGAATACCAAATATCAATGAGCATAAGAGATGATTGAGGTCTCCTAAATGATTATAGCTGTTTTTTTTTTTTTTCCCTGTGTAGAGTCTTTATTTAACAGGGAGATTGAGAAGAAGGTAATTTTTTTTTCTTTAAAAGAAAGTCAAGATGTCTGAAGAAGTGTGGCTGGCTTTCCCTGATTCTACTGTTATCATTCAACTCAACTGAGAAAATTACAATAGCAGTGAGAAGGCTTAGGTGTTCAATTTACTTATACCAAATTGGATCAATTTATTTATATAGCATTGTTTATGGACATTAAACTTTCTTTTAAAAAAAATTACTGTATATAATCCCAGCGAAATAAACAGAAGAAGAAATATGTAAGGTAACCCATTTTTAAAGTCACAAATGAGGGATTGGGATATTAAGAGTCTCAAAGGTTAACCAAAGAAGCCAAATTAAAACACTAACCCATTTTCATCTTCCCTTCATGCTGCATAAGGATAAGTATGTTCTCATATAGAAAATAATAGAAGTACTATAGGGAACACAAGACCACAGAGTTCTAAAGTGAGGACTCAGCAACAGATTTGACTAAAGAAAGCCTTCAACTGCAAGTCAAAGACACATCATTCCATTTAATGTCCATCTCTCAAAATCCTCCGATGTATCTTGACAACCATTTCTATCAATGCATTAATTAATTTGCCGTGGAATTTAGAAGCTAATGTTAGAACAGACTCTATCTGGCACAACAGGCAATAAATGCATCATGAATTCTAACTGTGGGACAAATTTGCCACAGATAAATCTTGTTATTCTGGGATTTATTTATCACAATGATCACTTAGGAGTTAGTTGCTCTTAGCAAAAAGAGGACTAAATGAGAAAGAGAAAATCATTAAAAAAATTTTTAGGATCATCTGATTAGTGGACTGTGATTTCCATTACAGGGTCTAATCTGTCCTTTTTTGATTCCAAATTCAAGATGAGATAAAAATATACTTCAATCTCCACCCGTCTGCCCTGCTTTCCAATCTCTTCTTGAAATGTTGCTTTTTAAGAACATAGCTAACTAACATCCAATGAATTCAATTATTTTTCTGTGTAGTTTTCCTTTAAAAGAAAAAGAAAATGTAACAAACTTCCAAAAAGACTTTCAATTTTGAAAAATCTAAGCTTTCAGGACTCTTCTGGCCCTGTACACACTTATCCCAAACTGCTACATCATCACCTCCCTCTGTAATATAGAAAAGTCATGATGATACAGGACTTTGTATCCAATATACTCTTCCTGTTCTAGACGAGGATCATGATGAAGATGAAAGTTCTAAGGGTTAGATTAAAACTCTATTAGACCAACTTGTTGCTTTAACAGACTGGTCAGTTAAGTTTTACTTATACTAGAAATTTATTTGTTATTTGGAGAAAATAAATTTTAGGTTGTCCTAAGATAATCACCTTCGCTAGAATCTTAAATATTATTTCATAACTTTGCTAAGTTATAGAAAAAACCTGCAATGTGGAAATAGCACCTAATGCAAACATGTGTTTGTCATTACCTATTGTTCTTTTCAGAAACATTTTAGTAAAATTGAAATTACTACAAAGAAATAACTATTGCAGATTCTTGCCTCATGGAAGAATAATGATACAAGTTACTGGTTTATCTACTTATGATAAAAACGATGCATTGTCATGGTATGGTATCAATTGGGCATTTTTGAGTCCATGGCTCTTGTTAGAATTTCTCTGCATGAATAGAAGGGGTTTAACTGTTAATAGAATAGTATTAAAGTTCTGGAAGTAATTATTCTGCAAGCAATTGAGATACTTGTTAAATTTAAAACTGTGGACTGGGAATCTTCAGGTTCCTACATTTCAGCAATAAACTGTAAGCCATATTTTTTGCACAGAATAGATTAAAAAAATCATGAGAAGCCTGAGAAAGTGTTTGTCTTTTCCCTTTTCCCCACTATTTTACATGTAAGAAGCAGCTTAACCAATATAAACAGCTCTTTGGAAAAGCAATTTGCATCTCCATCATCAACTTTGAATGCCAACTCTTAGCTTAAGGCAAATTCAAATGGCTGGGTTTAATAAGCCTTTTTTTTTAAAAAAAATTAAAATGTTTATTTATTTATTTTTGAGAGACAGAGACAGAGCATGAGCAGGGGAGGAGCAGAGAGAGAGACACAGAATCTGAAACAGGCTCCAGGCTCTGAGCTGTCAGCACAGAGCCTGACGCGGGGCTCGAACTCACAAACCGTGAGATCATGACCTGAGCCGAAGCCGGACGCTCAACCGACTGAGCCACCCAGGCGCCCCTAATAAGCCTTTTGAAGACTTGGTTTGTGTACCAGTTTCAGATATTTATTGATATTTATTCAATTATCAATAGATTTACCTATTTATATTTATTATACATCTTTACATTTTTGTTTAAATAAAATGCAAATTAGTGGGTGCATTAAAAGTACAAAATTTAAAAACATTAATATGCATAAAGATAATTACTATTTACCTAGTTTATAGGAGACAAAAAGTGAGTATCTTAAAGACAGAATTGAATTCTGAAAAACTGGTTGCCAAGTCAGGATTTTCTCAGGAGTCCCATGCATATCAGAGACTGATTTCAGAGACTGGGCTCATAAAGGAAACAATCCTTAATTTAAAATTGTGGTGTATCATTGCGTTTTACATCCTGTACTATCAGAAATATTTTAAGTAACAAATCTACAACTACTTTTGACTAGGATGGGGAAGAACAGAATTCTCATGAGCGAATTTTAGTTTCAATTTGTTTGTATGAACTCAGTCTAGAAATTAGAAAGATTTCCTAATTTCCTTATCCTAAAATTAGGAGACTACCAGTGCCAAGAAGCTGGCCAAGTGCTCCAAGTTTGGTCGAAAACAGTTTAATATTTTTGGTTCTGCATTTGTAAGAACATGTCTCTTCTCACTGATGGATTGGAGGACAAGTCTAAAGGTCCCAGAAGTGATGGATGCAGAAGGCTTAGAGACTGTCTTTCGGTGACTGTAGTGGCTGTTGCAGTTGGAGGTGCCTTTAGAGTTGCCAGTTGTTGATTCCCCCGAATTCTAATTAGTGACTTGGACAAACAGCCAAAACTCTGTTCACATCATCCTCACCTGGCAGAAGCTGACTTTCTATTTCCTAATCCTATGTCAGAGTTCCAAAGAGACAACTAAAATATGATTGATTTCTGATGGTCAAATTCCTTTACTCAAACACCAAAGCACACTTGGCCATTGAGATTGTGACTATTTAAAGAAGTAATCCAAGAGATTTGTTAGAATATGTTAATGCCACACAGGTATTTTTTTTTTAATGAAATATCTGCCATTGTTTCTGTTACTGCCCAAATTAACTTTGTCAGTGTTCTGAAACTAAGTTTTATTTTATTTTATTTTTAAAAATGTTTATTTTGAGAGAGAGAGAGCATGAGCTGGGAAGGGGCAAGAGAGGGGGAGAGAGACTCCCAAGCAGGATTCACCCTGTCGGCCCAGAGCCTGATGAGGGACTTAATCTCACGAACTGTGAGATCATGACCTGAGCTGAAATCAAAGTTGGACACTTTTAACCAACTGAGCCACCCAGGTGCCCTGAAACCCTATTTTAAAATTAATTTATTTTTTGCAATTTATAAAAGTTTTTGGTAAAAAGCAATGGTTAAGTGATATCACCTAATCAGGTTGAAAATATTTCATGTAGTTTTTCAAAAAAAATTAAAGTATAATTGGCATATATTACATTAGTTTCAGGTGTATAACATAATGATTTTCTATTTGTATATATTCCAAAATGATCACTACAATAAGTCTAGTTAACATTCATCACCATACATAGTTATAAAACTTCTTTTCTGGTGATAAAAAACTTTGAAGACCTACTCTCAGCAACTTTTAAATATGAAATACAGTATTACCAACTATAGTCACCATGCTGTACATCATATCCCCATGACTTGTTTATTTTATAACTGGAATTTTATACGTTTTAGACCCCTTTTATCCATTTTGTCTATACCCCTTTCCCCTTTCTGGCAACTTTCAGTCTCTTCTTTGTATCTATGAGCTTGTTTTTTTTTTTTTTTTTTTTTTGCTTGTTTTTGTTTCTGTTTTTTGATTCTATGTATAAGGAAGATCATACTGAATTTTTCCTTCTCTGTATGATTTATTTTACTTAGGATAAGGCCCTCAAGGTCCATTCATGTCACAAATGGCAAGATCCCATTCTTTTTTGTGGCTGAATAACATTCCATTGCACACACAACACACACACACACACACACACACACACACACTTCATCCATCCCTTGATGGATACTTAGAATTTTTCCATATCTTGACTGTTATAAATAAATAATGCTACAATGAACATGGGGTGCATGTATCATTTTGAGTTAGTGTCTTAATTTTTTTGGATAGATTCCTAGAAGTGGAATTACTGAATCATATGGTAGTTCTATTTTTAATTTTTTGAGGAACTTCCATAATGTTTTTTGTAGTGACTGCACCAATTTAGATTCTCAACAAAAGTGTATGAGGGTTCCCTTTTCTCTACATCCCTGCCAACACTTGTTATTTTTTGCCTTTTTGGTAATAGCTACTCTAATAGGTATGAAGTAATACCTCATTTTGTAATCTTATTGATAAGGAAATATATTATTTCCCTGATGATTAGTGATATTGAATATCTTTTTTATGTGTCTGTTGGTCATTTGTATGTCTTCTTTGGAAAATTTCTATTCATATCTTCTGACCATTTTTAATTGGATTTTTTAGTTCGTTAGTTTTGCTATTGAGTTGTAGTTCTTTGTATTTTTTGGATATTAACCCCTTCTCAGATATATGATTTACAAATATTTTCTTCTACTTACTAAACAGCCTTTTCATTCTGTTGATGATTTCCTTTGCAGCACTGAAGCTTTCTAGTTTGATGTAGTCCCATGTATTTATTTTTGCTTTTGATGCCTTTGCTTTTCATGTAAGATCCCAAAAAAATCATCACAAGACTAATGTCAAAGAAATTACCACCTATATTTTCTTCTAAGAGTTTTATAGTTTTAGATCGTACATTCAAGTCTTTAATCCATTTTCAGTTAAGTTTGTGTATGGTGAAAGACAGTGGTACAGTTTCTTTGTTTTGTTTTATTTTTATATTTATTTATCTATTTACTTATATTTTATTTTTTTACATGTGGCTCTTTGGTTTTCTCAACATTATTTGTTGAAGATATTGTCCTTTCTCCATTATATATTCTTGACTCCTTTGTTTAAATTAGTTGACCATATTTGTGTGGGTTTATTTTTGGGCTCTCTATTCTTTTCCATTGATCTGTGTGTCTGTCTTTATGCCAATGTTGTTTTGAATACTATAGCTTTGTAATACAGTTTGAAATTAGGGAGTGTGATACCTCCAGCTTTATTCTTCTTTCTCATTTTTTATCTATTTTTTTTTTTATTTTTTTTAATTTTTTTTTCAACGTTTATTCACTTTTGGAACAGAGAGAGACAGAGCATGAACAGGGGAGGGGCAGAGAGAGAGGGAGACACAGAATCAGAAACAGGCTCCAGGCTCCGAGCCATCAGCCCAGAGCCTGACGCGGGGCTCGAACTCACGGACCGCAAGATCGTGACCTGGCTGAAGTCGGACGCTTAACCGACTGCGCCACCCAGGCGCCCCTATTCTTCTTTCTCAAGATTGCTTTGGTTATTGAGGTCTTTTGTGGTTCCGTACAAATTTTAGCATTATTTGTTTTAGTTCTGTGAAAAATGCTGTTGGTATTTTGTTGGGATCATGTTGAATCTGTAGATTGCATAGGTAGTATGGACATTTTAATAATATTAATTCCTCCAATTTATGAGAACAGAATATCTTTCCATTTTTTTTTGGCA